CAACAAACATGAAAAACAGAGCTCAACATCACTGATCATTAAAGAAATGTAAATCAAAACCACAATGAGATACCATCTCACTCCAGTCAGAAAGGATTATTAAAAAGTCAAGAAACAGCACATGCTGGCAAGGCTGTGGAGAAATAGGAATGTGTTTACACTGTTGGTGGGAATGTAAATTAATTCAAACATTGTGGGAAACAATGCGGCAATTCCTGAAAGATCTAGAATCAGAAATACCATTTGACCCAGCAATATGGTTTCTGGGTATATACCCAAAGGAAGATAAATTATTCAGTTACAAAGATATATGCACACGTATCTTCACTGTAGCACTATTCACAATAGCAAAGACATGGAATCAACCGAAATACCCATCAGCGATAGACTAAAAAAAATGTGGTACAGATACACCGTGGAATACTATGCAGCCATAAAAATGAACAAGACCATGTCCTTTGCAGGGACATGGATGGAGCTGGAAGCCATTATCCTCAGCAAACTAATGCAGGAACAGAAAATGAAACACCGTATGTTCTCGTTTATAAGCGGTAGCTAAATAATGAGAACACATGGACACAGGGCGGGGAACAACACACACTGGGGCCTATCAAGGGGAGGAAGAGTATCAAGAAAAATAGCTAAAGCATGCTGGGCTTCATGCCTTGATGGGTTGATAGGTGCAGCAACCACCATGGCACATGTTTACCTGTGTAACAAACCTGCACATCCTGCACATGTACCCTGGAACCTAAAATAAGAATAAAAATTAAAATCAAAATTTACACTGAAATAAAAGAAAGAAAGAAGCCAGAGGGAAAAAAACACCTTACCTACAGAGGAGCAAAAATAAGAATTACACCTGACTTCTCAGAAGCCATGCAAACAAGAAAAGAGGGGAGAAAATCTTTAAAACATGTAGAGGAGAAAAAAAAAATACTAGCAGATCCTGTGAAATAATCCTTCAAAAGTGAAAGAGCAAGCAAAAAAATGAGGGAGGAAATTTGTTGTCAGTAGACCTGCCTTGCAACAAATGTTAAAAGCATTTCTTCAGAGAGAATGAAAATAATATAGGTCAGAAACTCAAATTTACATAAAGAAAGGAAAGAGATTAGAGAAGAGATAAAGGAATAAGTAAAAATAAAGAAAAATTTTTGAATTTTTCTTATTAATTGATCTCACAGATAACAGTTTGTTAAAAATAATAATAGAAATAATGTATTTGATGATAGATTATAGCTTAAATATAAGTGAAATGAATGACAGTAAGGGGCTGGAGGGCATAACACAAAGGGCAGAAAGGAAGAATTAGAAATACTCAGTTGTTGTTATAAGGTACTTGCAGTACCTATGAAGCAATATAGTTCACTTTCAAGTGGACTTGGATTAGTTGTAAATGGACATTGCATACTCTAGAGCAACTACAAAATAAAGTAAAACCATGGTAGCAATATCCATTTCATAGATGCCATAGGTATCAGTTGTCAAGGATTAGAAATTTTAAGATAAAATATTTGAGAATTACATTATCTAACATAGTCAAGAATGATTTTATTTATTTATTTATTTATTTATTTATTTATTTAGTGAGAGAAAGTATCTCACTATGTTGCTCTGACTGGTCAAAAGCTCCTGGTTTCAAGCAATCCTCCCCTCAGCCTCCCAAAATTCTAGCATTACAAGCATTAGCAGCCATGCATGGCCCCAGTAAATATTTTTATTTACAAAAAAAAAACCACTATAAACATTCATGTGCTTGCCTCCCTGAACACATGTGGATGGAATTATTGAATCACAGGTCTTCAAAGGCACCTCTCTATTTGCTAGGCATTATATTTATTCTCCAAAGTGGTTGCACCAATTTGCACTCCCACCAGCAGTTCTCGGTATGATATTTGCTATTATTCTCCATCCTAACTGATACTTCTTACTGTCAAACTTTTAAATTTAGAGGTATGAAATGCTATGTCTCATTTAATTTGCTAATAATAAGGTTGATCACCTTTTCATGTGCTTATCCTAAACTTCTTCTTCCATTAATTACCTGTTCATATCTTAATTTTTACCATTTGTTTGTCTTTTTTTCTATTGATGTGTAAGACTCCTTTATATATTCTAAATAATAATTATTTGTTGATTCTGTGTGTTATATACCTTCTCTCAGTCTTTGGAATTCATCTTTTCACTTATTTATGTTGCATGTTAAATGTTTAGAACATAAACTGTCTTTATAAGCAGAAGCAAGTTACTTGTAAATACATGCTAATATGGTTTGGCTTTGTATCACCACCCAAATCTCATCTCAGATTGTAATTCCCATGTGTTGAGAGAGCAACCTGGTAGGAGGTGATTGGATCATGGGGGCAGTTTTCCCTATGCTGTTCTCGTGATAATGAGGGAGTTCTCAAGAGATCCGATGATTTTATAAGTGACTCTTCACCCTTTGTTTTACTCTCTTCTCTCTCCTGCTGCCTTGTGAAGAAGGT